ACACACACATACAAATGTAATCTGGTAATCTGGGATATCATTATCATTAGTATTATTATTATTATTTTATTAGGACCAGCAAATGAAAATGTTAAATTAATGTTATTAATTATAAAAAAGGTTATACGTGTTTTTTATTATTAAATACTAATTTAGTCATTTTATTTTTTATTTTTTAATTTAGTTTAATTTAGTGTTAATAATTATAAGAAAGAAAAAAAAAACATACACATGACCTTGTTTTAATATCAATTTAATATCAATTATTATGGTTCTTACTTATATTTTCTATTACAGTTCTTATTCATTTTAGATATTTTTGTTTTCGTTTTCATTTTAATTAAAGTTTTTGTAATTTTGTTCTGTGATTTTTGCGCTTTTTTTTTGTTTTTCAATTTTTTTTTAAAATATGTTTATTTCATTAATTAATTTTTAATAGTAATTTTTATGATTTTTTGCATTTATTTTCATTTTAGTTTCAATCATTTTAATATCCACGAAGTTAAACTACATGTGCGAAATGTTGCATAAAATAAAATAAAATAATAAGCTGAAATAAAATAAGTTATATTTAATTTAATTTCAGTTCATGTTTAATTTATTTCAAGTAATGGATATTCAAATTTATTTTAATTTCAATAATATTTTTTGAGTTGGTGCTATTAATTTAAAACATTAACTTTATTCAGTTAACTATGAGTAAAAGGGACTACAAATGCAAGATTCCCCCAACCTATACAGTATATACATTTCATTATAAGGAATATTCCACATTAGATTTTTTTTGTTTGTTTATTTGTTTTTGTTTTTAATATTATCAAATGTATTTTAAATTAGGACTGTCAATTTAAATATTAATTTAGTGTGATTTATGAAGTTTGTGAGGTTCACTAAATGAAGACTTTGAGATTTCACATTTACACAGCACATAAAAACATGGTTGTCAGTTAGACAGTCTCTTCCTCTCTATAACATGAGCAGCTCTTGGTCAAAATAAGCTGCAAAGACCAGCAGCCTGTAAAGACTTCAGTGAAGCAGTCCGCTGTGAACTCTAGTGTTGTAGGCCACTGAGAGACATCCTTCTGAAAAATGACAAATGGGACACGCTACGGTCTCATGAACTTCATGGACACGTGTAAGTGAAGGCCACGAGACCACAAGTCCACATCAAGCACCCAAAGTCTGTCTCCACAAGATTAATACTGGAGCGAGTCCAGCTGAGAGGAAACGGAGACACACAGATCACCACTCACGTTTCATCTGACAGAGGATACATCAGCGTGTGATGACAAATGACTGGCTGTGTAGAGATGAGAGGAGCACTGAGATCCAATTATTATTTGCATAGCTGTGCTGGAGAGGGTCATAACTGCCGTCTACTGTTTTTCTCAATCATCTGTTACTCTGATATGTATTTCACATATGCTAACGCCTCACACACAGACACACACATACATTTGTTTGCATGTGGCGGAACCCTCCAATGAAACAGATTTAATAAAGTTTTTACTATCAAGAAATACAATTACCTAGGAAAATGAACAGATGCTATTTAAAAATATGTTGATTCACTCACAAAACACAAACAAATTTGTGTAAAAACATCCATGTGTCAATTTTGCTTTGAACTGAATGTGTTTCATTTGTAAAAATGTGTTTACCAGCAATTTGTTTCAAAGGCAGTAGATGTTTACAAACTTTAGCCAGAGCAGTGTTGTTATTGTTAACTAAAACTAAAACTAATACTGAAACTGTTAAAATTGTTTTCGGTAAATTAAATAAACGGAATGAATGAACAAAATAGAATAGAATGCAATTTGGACACCATTTTTTTCATCATAAATATTTAGAAAAATTGGACACAACACACACATATCAAGAACAGTCACAGAGTTGTTGTGAAGCCACTCCTTCGTTAT